AAAAAAAAACACGAACTGGTTTTGTTTTCACACGGCCAGGCGACTTTTGTTGTTGCTAAAAAAATTGCGAGGTGTCAGGTTGTAGTCAGGCACAAGAAGAATGTTTTTTCTTCTTCTTCTTTTCTTTTCTTTTTCTTCGCGAGAACCCACGACCTGCCCGCCTACAGCGCCTCAAGTTTTTTTAATGGGTCCTCCCGGCGACCCACAAACTGCCCACCAACTCACGCGAGTCTGGCAGGTATGTCCACACGTGTCGGGAGCTGCAGTTCACATTTCCTTTCGCTTCTCCAGGTTCGTGGGGGCAGCGGAGCACTCGCCACACGGCAAGCCGTGTGCTCCATGTAGCGACAAGCAGAAAACAAAGAAGAGGAAAAAAAACGAACTTGCATTCTTGCCAGTCCTTGCAAAAAAAAAAAAAAAAAAAAAAAAAAAATTGTTTCGTTTTCCTCCTCGCGTGGCGAGCCAACGTAGTGTGGTGGAATTGGATCGACTTGGAAAAAGTTAAAAATAGTTCTAGTGTGCCGGACGGAGTAATGAATCCGACACTAGAATGCTTGTTCCTGCGAGGAGATACGCTGACGTCAGTTGATATGAACCCTTTAGTCATAACACCTGTAATGACATAATCTGACATAATCTGACATGATCTGACATAATCCGACATTATCTGACATAAGCTGACATAAGCTGACATAATCTGAAAGATAAAATAAACTTCATTGTGAATATTCACTATTTTATTATTTCTTATATTATCATATTAATAATTTAATATATTAATATATTATTATCCTTAAATGACAATCTGACATATTATGAGATAGTGTGACATAATCCATTATAAATCAACTTATAGTAGTCTTATACATTATCCTTATGAAACGGTTTCCACCTTTGCAGTCGCAGATGCAGTTCCCAGGGCTCGATCCCCAGACCTCACCCTTACCCGTGTACAGTACCACTTGACCCGTGTGTGCTTGAGCCCGCGACCTGTGCCTTGAAAGTTGCCTGTTTGTTTGCTGTAGGTAGGGTGGTCCTCAGGTCTTGAACAGTAGGTCCGTAGATTATCAGTGTTAGCAGCGGTAGGGGTAGCAGCTGCTACAGTACCGAAAGGTCAACGTAGGTCGTAGCTGCGACAGCACCAAAGGGTCACATAGGGTAGGCTAGGTCCTTCTAGAACTGTCTACTCTGCCCCTTCGTGAGTCCTAGCTAGCAATCCGTAGGCAAGTGGGCAAGTGGGCAGTCTAACTCACCCCAGTCAGCGGTACCCAGTCTCAGTCGCACTTTGTCAAGTCAGCACGTATCATGTGGGACTGTGTGCACCCCGGGCCCAGGGGCAATCCAGCGTCAAGTCATACATCGATTCCGCCTGTGAGCCGTGCGGACGCGCTGTCGAAGTGTCCTGTGTGCGGAGGTCTGCAGGTGCCCGCGAAGGAGAAGTGGGCTAAGAGGAGGAAGACGCGGCCATAGCCGTTTGGGTTATTGAGAGGAGGAAGACGGCAGCCATAGCTGCCCGCCATAGCTGCCCTTAGATTAGTAGAAGGGTGTTAGTCAGGGTGTATGCGTGTGCAAGTGTATATGTGTGAAGTGTGCGTGCGTGTGTGTGTGTGTGTGTGTGTGTGTGTGTGGGACATCCAGGGAGGTCCAGGGCGTGTGTGCAAACAAGTTGCTGAGAGGGCAGCGGTCGGCCATAGCTGATCGAGACAAGTTTGAATCTGAACCGTGTTCTTGGCATCGTTATCTCTGAGGTTTGTGCGGGCGCAAGTCGCCAGCTTGATCGTCGTCTGTTTGTACGCATGCTGAGTTTCGAGAAGACAAGTCCGATTGCACTTAGATGATGATAATTCTCTGACATATTCTGACATAGTGTGACATAATCCCCTAGGAAGATTCATACGCCCAGCTGGGCAACCAGGAGTGACGCCCGGGGTACACGGGAGGTGTTTTTTTTTTTTTTTTTTTTTTTTTTTTTTTTTNGTGTGGGACATCCAGGGAGGTCCAGGGCGTGTGTGCAAACAAGTTGCTGAGAGGGCAGCGGTCGGCCATAGCTGATCGAGACAAGTTTGAATCTGAACCGTGTTCTTGGCATCGTTATCTCTGAGGTTTGTGCGGGCGCAAGTCGCCAGCTTGATCGTCGTCTGTTTGTACGCATGCTGAGTTTCGAGAAGACAAGTCCGATTGCACTTAGATGATGATAATTCTCTGACATATTCTGACATAGTGTGACATAATCCCCTAGGAAGATTCATACGCCCAGCTGGGCAACCAGGAGTGACGCCCGGGGTACACGGGAGGTGTTTTTTTTTTTTTTTTTTTTTTTTTTTTTTTTTGGGTGGTTTTCTGCACTGTACCAGAGGCCCCCAAACCCGTGCTCATTTCTTTTTTTGCAAGTTGGCTGTCAAGGGGGGGGGAGGGAGGGGGAGGGGGGTATAAATTCGTTTTAAAGGGGCTTAAGGGGCTCAAAGGGGGGTATCTGTTATTTCTTTTTTTTATCTCCGATTCTTTGACAGATAGGGAGGATTTTTTTATTTTTATTTTGTTCAGTGCTGCGGCTGGTCCCACCCCAAGGCACGGGACCTTTTTTTTTTTCCCCTACCCGCCCTTTCGAGGGCCTGTCGCGAGCCTCCGAAATGTTAGGAGAGGCTCAATCGCAATTTCTCAACTTGGCTGGGGCCCTGTACTGGTAGTAGTCTAGAGGACCATTCAATGCTTGCTCAATTGATTACCCTCCCTCCATGCCTCCCCCCCTCCTCCTCCTCCCCCCTCCTCCTCCTCTTCCTCCTCCTCCTCCTCCTCTCAAACGCGACTGCTGTGAGGGATCCTGGTGCGAAATACGTTTAGAACACATTCCCGCCAGAAATTTTTCATGAATGTATCGGACCACAATAACATCCAGATGCAGTTGACAAATTCCTAGGCAAGAGTAGGACCCAATCACACTCCACACCTGCTTTCCAGCCTCTGTTTTTTTTTTTTTTTCGTTCTTTTTCTTCCGTGTTAAACCGCCAATACCAGCCTTGCTGAAAAGAAACTCGTCGCCTATCCGGAAAAGTCGGCGCGCCAGCGACGTCGATGATAGAACTCGGCGGGCGGCATCGCTTTTCAGCCTCTGATACGGCCCCGCGGCCGATGTGAGGCGTGTACCGGTGGTTTACTGGTGGTTTAAAGTTTAAAGTCTTCCTCCGAACACAACGCACCCTCATAATGGCTGTAACGTACCGGAAAGATAGTACCTTTGGCGAGTGGGAAAATAGTGGGCCTTGGGTGGGCCTCCAACCTTTTAGGAAGGCCGAAACGAAACAACGTCCATCGATGAGATTTATCAAGGGCGGCTATCGTCGGGCCCGGCCTCCGTTTTTTTAGGACTTAGTGAAAACTGCCAGTTTTGCTGGTGGGTATTTTCCCAACACTGGCCGAGGTACTGGTCGGTTTAAGAGCAATGACCTTGAGGAATCATAATTGAACCTACCCGCCCCCGGTATTCACGGTTATTTAATATTGTAGCCATCTGATGACACCAGGATTCGAACTCAGGTCTGCTTATCGACAGCTACATGGGTATGCCCAAGGGCCGACCAATGTGGTCTTCTTTCGATGAAGTATATTTGTGGATTAAAGTTCATTAAACACTGGCCTTGCACACCTGTGGAAAAATGGAAGGGGGGAAGGGACCGGTTGGGGGAGGCGAAAGCGCAGAAGCAGGGAGTGAGGGGGGGCAAGAGAAGGGAGGGGGGGGAGAGCAGGAGGCAAAGGGAAGGCACAAGTGGATGGGCAAAGAAGCAAAAGGAGGTGGCGGAATGGCTGGGAGTGAAAAGGGGGTAAGCGAAGAGGAAAAGGAGGTAAGGGAAGAGGAAAAGGGGGTAAGGGAAGGGAAAGGGGTGCTGAGCAAAAGGAAAGGGGGGTAAGGGCAAGGAAAGGGGTGCTGAGGGAAAGGAAAGGGGGGAAAGGGGGGTTAAGGGAAGGTTTATTAGGGTAAGGAAAGGAAATGGGGGTGAGGGAACGGAAGGGAAAGGGGGACAAGCGAAGGGGAAATGGAGAGGGAGGGGGAAGAAGGGAAGGTTGGAAGGGAAAGGGAGGGGGGATGGAGACCGCTGGGTGGAGCAGGGTGCAAGAGGAGGGCACAAGTGGGGGCCAACGAAAGGTGTACGCAACCGGATTGAAAGCAAAGAGTAGGAGAGGAAGGGAAATCGGCGGGAGGGGGAAGG